ATCAGCCCTGGCAGGGGTTGAAGCCCACTCTCCTGAGCAGAGGGGTCCTTGTCCCTTCCGGGTCCATCCCCACTGCAGGAATAACCTCTCCCTCGAGCACTCGGGTTGTGGAAGGTACCCTCACCCCTGGGGAAGGTTTCATCTGCCTGGCTCACACCAGCCCACAAGCAAAGGGGTCAGGACCAGAAGCTCACTGAGCACAGAACCCCAGGCGCGGTTCTGCCGCCAGCGTGCATGAAGTGATGGAGCCACCACCGCTCCCTCTTCCACACATCCCCACGCTTCTGTTGGCATCCCCACCACACCGGCTGCCAAGGACATGCCAGGTCATGGGTGGCTTGGGTACGGAGGTTACGACTCAACAGCACAGCTCGGATGGACGCGAGCAGCACAGCCCCATGGAAGAAAGGCGAGGTCCCTGCAGGGTTAAGCCCCTGCCCTGTCCACCCCAGGCATTGTCCCCACCAGCCCAGCCCTGTGGCCCCTTCACAGGGTGCTTGGCACCCCTCACAGCATGGACAATCGCCTATTTCAGCACATACACAGAGCAGGGGGAGCAGAGCACAGATCCAGCAGTTTGGACCAGCTGACCAAGCCTTCAGGTACACGTGGAGTCCAAAGGGATGTTCCCAATGTCAAGGGCAGCCCTGGGGCCCTGAAGCAGGCTCCGAGGAAGACAGAAGCAAGGCAATCACCACAGAAACAAAGGTGTGGGCACAAATCCTTGTCCCTGCTGGCAGCATCTCTGGTACCACCACCGCAGTAGGGCTGAGCATGGATGTCCACGAGCCCCCCACTGCTGCGTGTCCAGCCTGTTCTTGCTCCCTGCCCACCCCTTGAGCTCACCCTGGGGCTGCCCATGAGCTGCTCGTGCAGCCCCAAGATGCTCCAGCAGCTGCCAGACCCCTGTCAGGGTGAGTACTACGGGGCCAGGCAAGCACAAGCCTGCTGACCCCAGGGCTGAGGGTGATGCTCTGGGAGGCTCCATGCCCATGTGCCAGCACTAGAGCACGGGCTGTGCCAACCCAAAGGCTCCTGTGTGTGCAGCAGGGAAGCAGGCACAGCCTTACAGATACCTCCCCTGGGCTCCTTACTCCACCTCCCAAACCTGCCCCACAGCCCCAGCCAGGCTGAATCTCACCCCTTGTCCCCACAGCAGAGCTCTGCTTGGTGCAGCCAGGAGAAGGCACCGCGAGCCAGCTCCCCAAGCACCAGAGAAGCTCCTGGACTCCTAAAAGGCAGGGAACCTGAAGGAAAGGACACACCAGGACCCCCAGCCCTGCCTATACCACTGCTCTCCCCCTCCCTCCCCACCAACCAGGGCTTTAACGCCGGCCAGCTCCGGCACTAATGGCTGTGCAGAGGCCATTTGCCACCTTCTCACACCAGTCCGTGACACCCAACAGAGCTCGCTGGAGCCACAAGCCCCCAGCGGCCCCTGCCCAGCCAAACCCACAGGCACTGCAATTGGGAGGCAGGGAAAGAACAGGCTTCAGCAGGACACAGAGGGCTCCCAAGGCTGCCACGGGTTCCAAGAGATCAGCACGAGGGAAGCACGAGGGCTGGATGCACCAGTACCAAGACCCAGCGCCATGCGCCATGACTGGGGCAGCGGGTCCCCAGACCAAGGGCACGGCCAGCGCTGGAGGCAGCGCTCAGTGCTCTCATGGAACCCCCCCCCATGCATTAACGTGTGGCTCAAGGATCAAACCCCCCCGGACAGCAAGATGCTGGCGGCCACGGGCTGAAACCAGCTCGAGCAACCCTGGTAGCAGCATCCTTGGAGAACCTTCCTCAGCCCAAGGCGCTGGAGGAGCTCTGGATTTGAAGCCTCCTGCTCAAAGCACAGACCCTGCGCACAGCACTTCCACCGCAGCCTCCCAGCGAGAGCAGCCAAGCTTAACCCACAGGGGCAGCCACACCGACAGCAACGGTGGGGAGCGGCAGTGGCACCTCCATTGTGCTTGGTGGGGCATCGAGACCAGGGTGACCAGATACATGTGGGGGAGAACGAGCTCACCCACCTCCTGCCATTGCCCCTCATGAGGAGGCTTGAGACAAGCCCAGAGGTGGACATGAGCTGGCCCTTGGGCTGGCTGGGGGCACCTTTGCCTTTCCCTGCTCCTCGCCCCTCGGCATCCCCGCTCCTCGCCCCTCGGCATCCCCGCTCCTCGCCCCTCGGCATCCCCGCTCCTCGCCCCTCGGCATCCCTGCTCCTCGCCCCTCGGCATCCCGGCTCCTCACCCCTCAGCATCCCTGCTCCTCGCCCCTCGGCATCCCTGCTCCTCGCCCCTCGGCATCCCGGCTCCTCACCCCTCAGCATCCCTGCTCCTCGCCCCTCCGCATCCCTGCTCCTCGCCCCTCCGCATCCCTGCTCCTCGCCCCCCGGCACCAGGACCAGGCCAACACAGCTTCCATCGGGCCCCTCCCGGGGGTGCCAGGGCTTCCCCCCTCCCCGACGCCTCGCGCAGCACTCACCCAGCATCTGGCTGAAGAGGAGCTGCTCCAGGTCGCCCAGCACCGTGACCACCAGCTCGGGGTCCACCTTCAGGTACGGTTTGTCCTCGGCGCCCGCCGCCACCGCCGGCCCCTTCCCTCCCAGCAGCTCATCATCGCACTTGCCGCCGCCCGCCTCGGGGGCCTTGCTGAGGGGCTTCACCTCCGCGTAGGGCCCGCGGGGGATGCGGCTGGGTTTGCCGGCGGGCGGCGGCTTGGCGGGGCCGGCGGGGCGCGGCGGCAGCAGCGAGTGCTCGGAGCGGGACAAGCTCCGCGACATGGCGGGCGCCTCCCGGCCCCGGGGACCGCCACCGCCCCGGCCGCCCCCCGCCGCCGCCGCCCCCGGGGCCGCCGCCTTGGCCATGTCGTCGCTCCAGCGGGGCTCGTAGAGCTGCCGCTTCTTCTCGGCGTCGGTGAGGAAGGCCAGGTTCGTGAGCGACTTCTGCTTGCGCAGGTTGGAGCCGGCCGGCAGCCGCCCCTCCGCGCTGCTCGCCTTGAAGACGCGCAGCTCCGCGCCCCGCGGCCCCGCCGCCGCCGCCGCCTTCGCCCGCTTCGGCATCACCGCGCCGCCGTCGGGACCCCGCCGGTAGCCGCGCTCCTCCTCGCCCAGCTCCACGTCGGGAAGGTTCTTGAGGTTGCTCCCCAGCATCCCCGCGCTGCAACCATTTAACCCGCCGGCTGCTGCCGCTGCGGCACCGACGAACACCGGGCGAGACAGAGAGAAGAGAGGGAGAGAGAGAAGCGCCGTTAGCGCCCGCCCCGCCGGGGCGGAGCGGGACGGGGAGGAGATGGGGCGGCTGTAAGGGGGGGGTGGCGGTGAGCAGCGCGGCCCCACCTCGCCGCTGCGCCGCCAGCGGGACACTGCGAACCAGCGGAATGTCGGGGGCAAACAAAAAGAGCCCGCCCTCCTCCGAGCCCCGCGGGCAGGGGGCGGAGCGCGGCGGGGACGCGCAGCAGCGAGCACGGCGGGGGGGGGGGGGGGGAGTGACCGAGCAGAGCCCCGATGGGGGGGGACGGGGACAAAACTTCCCCTTTTCACCCCAAACGGCGCTGGAAGGGGCGGCCCCGGGACCCCGCCCCCAGCGGGGCCCCTCCGGGGGGTGTGGGGGCTGAGGGGGAGCGGGGTCTGGTTATCATCAGTGTTCATTAATTACCCGTCCCCCGGGAGGGGTGAATTAAGTCTATTTGGTGACCTCACGCGCGCTGCCATGGCAACCGCCGGAAAATATCGCATTAGAGCCCATCACCGTGCTGCCGGGATGGGGAGAGGGCAGGGCGGGGGGGGGGGGGGGGGGGGGGAGCCCCCAGCCCAGCCCCCAGCCCGGGGGGGGGGGAGTCGGGGTCCAGCCCGTGGTGATGCTGAGGAGCCCCGAAATGCCCCGGCCCTGGATGGGACAGCAAAGGGTGGCCAAAGCCCCCGGTGTTACCATTGCTGGCATGGGGTGGGTGCAGGAGCTGCACCCCGAAGCCGCTCTCAGTGTGCGGGGCTGTCACGGCTATGGGCTGGGTGTGGGGCCCACTGCGGGGGGGCAGATCTGGGGGTGCCGTCTCATGGACCCCTGGGACCTCCCGGTGTTCCCGGTCCCCTCCAGCCCCGCGGGAGGTGTGGAGCCAGAGAAAGGATCCGGCCCCTTCCCCAGCCCCGCGGCTCTGACCGAGTTCTGTCCCTTCACATCACGCAGCGAAGCTCCCGGCTCCTTTTCTTCCCTTCCCCTGCACATCCCTGGAGCATCCCGCCATCCTCCGCTGCCGCTGCCCTGGCAACCGCCGCCCGGCATCTCCCCCAGCGGCTGCCCCCCAAAACCTGCCCCAGAGCAGGCGCCATCGGGGATCGGGTTGTCCCCAGCACCGCAGTGGGGAGCTCGCACTGGGCTCCCGAGAACGGGGGTGTCCCCGCGGTGGGTGCGGGGAGCCAGCGGCACCCGCCTCCGCCCGGCTCCGAGCCAGCTCCTTGGAAATGGGTCATTCCTGGAGCTCGCCTGGAAACTGGGAAGAGGAGGGAAAGGAGCCAAGCAGGGCCATGTCCCGGCGGCGCCACGGGACGGGACAGTCCCTCTGTACTGCACCATGGGGGATGCTGGACCATGGGGAATGCTGGACCATGGGGGATGCTGGACCATGGGGGACGCTGGACCATGGGGGACGCTGGACCATGGGATGCTGGACCATGGGATGCTGGACCATGGGGGATGCTGGACCATGGGGGATGCTGGACCATGTGGGACGCTGGACCATGGGGGACGCTGGACCATGGGATGCTGGACCATGGGATGCTGGACCATGGGGGATGCTGGACCATGAGGGATGCTGGACCATGGGGATGCTGGTACATGAGGGATGCTGGACCGTGAGGGATGCTGGACCGTGAGGAATGCTGGACCATGGAAGATGCTGGACCATGAGGGATGCTGGACCATGAGGGATGCTGGACCATGGGGGATGCTGGACCATGAGGGATGCTGGACCATGGAGGATGCTGGACCATGGAGGATGCCGGTCCATGGGGGATGCCAAGGTGGCTCCTGCACCTGGGTTTGGTGATGCCTCTGGTTGTAGGTTTTTAGCCGTGGGAGTCACTGGATACAGGAGCTGCAGCCGTGTCATTCCCAGAGGAATTGGGGCACAGCTTATGTGGGGGTTCCCCCTCGGATTCCATTCCAGCACATGCCCGTGGGGGTCTGAGCTCCACACGACCCCCTGCCCCCCCTGCAGGACCCCCCCCCCATCCCCAGCAAACCCCCCTGGACTCACTCGGGCCTCCAGGTCTGGGGTCGGGGTCAGGTCCAGGGCACTCGTCACCCTCCTCCCAGCGCTCCTGCAGCCTGGAGGGCAGAGCGGGGTCAGGGTGTGGGAGCAGGGGCACATTGTGGGGTGCAGCTGGCTGGGGACCCCCAGGAGATGGGAACGCGGTGCCTTGGGCTCTGCCAGGGCTAGGGGACACTGGCAAGGGGGGGTCCTGGTGCACTCCGTTGCCCACTGAGCCCATCTCCTGCCCCACACCTGCTCCCATGGGTGCCCCAAAACCCCCAGCACCCCAAACCCAGTTGGAACCCTCCCTGTGGGGCAGAGCCCCCAGACCCAACCCCACTATTCCCCATGACCACCCTCACCACGTCACCTGCCTCCCCATGTCCCCCTGTCCCCATAAGCCCCATCCCCGGGGACTCACCGGTACTGGAAGGGTGCCACGGTGGCAGTGACGGGGTGATTGTGTGGGGCACCCGAGGAGAAGGTGATGGCCCCCGACCCAAATACAGGACCCCTCCCCTGCGAGCCACTGTGGGGCTCATCCCCCATCCCTGCCACGGTCACCCCACTGCCCTTCCCAGGGCCAGCCCCCAGCCGCCCCCCAGCCCTACCCTGTGCTGGGGGAGCCTTGGGGAGCTCAGGGGGCTCCCTTGCCCTGCCTGCCCCTCTCCTCCCACTGCCCCCTGCTTCTGGCCACTTCCCGGGGGGCACCAGGGGTCTCGCTGGGACCTTCTGCCCCCCACGGCGGGGGACACCGGGGCTGCCCCCATTGCCCTCGGCAGCTCTGCCTTTGGGTTTGAGGGTTCTGGGGCCGGGGGCTGGCTGGGGGGACAGAGCCCTGGGGGACACGGGGGGGGCCGTGGTGCTGGGGGGGGCCGCAGCGTGTGGTTTGCCATGGGCCATAGCGCGGGGCACCGGGATGGCAGAGGCGAAGTGGCTGCGGGCGGCAGGGTTGACGTTGGCTGTCCCGTTCATCCCGGCGCTGGCGAGGCTGTGGGGAGAGAGCAGGGATGAGCAGGGCGAGGGGTGGCCATGGCGGCACCCACATCCCCGCAGACACAGTGGACCCCGGCCTTGACCCCTGCTGACTGTGGTGCTCAATGGCCTCATCCCGGGGGAGGCCGCTGCACCCCACAGAGGGAGGACACATGTGATGCCCCCCCCACAGGGATCCCCACAGCATTTGTGACATCCTCCCCCAGGGACCCTGTGCAGCCCCATCCCAGGCCCCTGTGGCAGGTCCCTGCAGCAAGGCCACATGGCACAGAGCCTCAGAAGACAGGGCTGCATCACAGGTGGGATGGGCGCCTCTTGGCCACCCAAAACCTTCTCCTTGTCCTTGGAACCACCTCCTGGTCCAACGAGACCATGTCCCAGACATCCGAGACCATCTCCTGGTCACAGAATCATCATAGAACCATGGAATGGTTTGGGTTGGAAAGGACCTTAAGATCACCCAGTTCCAACCCCTGCCATGAGCAGGGATGCCTCACTCTAAACCAGAGAAGTGGTGAATGCTCCATCCCTGGCGGTGTTCAAGGCCAGGTTGGACAGAGCCTTGGGTGACATGGTTTAGTGGGAGGTGTCCCTGCCCATGGCAGGGGTTGGATCTGGATGATGTTAAGCTCCTTTCCAACCCAAGCCATTCTATGGGTCTATGATTCTCCTTCCAAACTCGTCGTCTGCCTCGGGACTGATTCCTGCCCCATCTGAGCTCTGCCCCTGCAGCAGCAGGGGAGCACCGCATCACCTGCACCGCTTTGCCTGGCTAAAGCAGGTTACAGCTTGACCTACATAGGCACAGGCGGCTCCTCTGCAATCAGATCCAAAGGGAAACAACTTTCTCCTTTAATGCCACTGAGCACAGAGCTCCGTGTGCCCGGAGCAGCTCTTGGGAACCGGCTGCCACCATCACCGAGTGATGGGAGCACCAGGACTTTGCCCCAGATGCTTCAGTTTGGGGGTTTCAGCCTTGTCCCCTCACCAGGTACCAGAATATACACACAAGGTGTAAGAGCTCCAGAGTTCAGGCCCAGAGCACTGAGCCAACAGCTACCTGCTCCAGCGCTGAACTCCGGTTTTCCCTGAATTAAAGAGCTCTAAGCCCAGAGGTGAGGTGGTTTCAGATCCCTTCAGGTGATTCCTCCACAAAGACACGGGTGTTCACACTGAAGGAAAACGAAACAGCCTTGGCCGAGCGTGTCCTTCATCCCAGGGCAAGCACAACCCAGCACATCCCTGAAGGCATCTCTTTCAAAGAGGCATCTGTTGTGCTTGGAGCTGGAGCTATGTCCTCATCCCCGTGTCCAAATGCACCCCTCATGTGAGACTTTAGCAGCCAGAAACGAATACAGGGATCTAGAGTCTCATTTAATGTCCCCATTTCCTATGTGAGGGGTCACTGGAGCACCCCCAGCATTGAAACAGATGCGCTTTGGAGCCGTCCATCACCTGAGCACGTGTGATGGATGCCTCAGAGGGATCCAACCCCCATGGTCTCAAGAGCCAATGGCTCCGCAGCATTTCACTGCTCCTGAAACGTTTCAAGGTGACTTTTATAAACCAGATTAAATTTGCTCCTCTCTTATCTCTTGCAGTTTAGGGGTCCCTGATGGGGATGGAACTGCCCTGTGCCCCCGGGTAACTGTGCCAGGAGCCTGAGCACGGACGCTTGGTGCTGCACAAAGGCACGAAACCCATCAGCCTCTGCTGGCATCCTGCTGCCACTTCGTGCCTCAGTTTCCCCACCCTGCCACGGCCTCTGCTCAGGGTGAGGGAGCTGAAACCAGGCTGGGAAATAGGGATAAAGGAGGACAGATCCTGCAGAGCAGCTCCATGATCAGGAGCCACTCTTGAGACCGGCAGCAGAGGAGTGCCGGGGGCTGCAGCAGGGCCGGGTGAGGAGCTGAGCCCATCCTGGTGCCCCGACACGGCTGCCCCTCGAAGCAGCCCTGTGCTTCTTGCACGAGGAACCAGCCCCTTGGGAATGGCTCCAGCACGGCCGCCTCCCCGGCACACTCGGAAGAGGGACAAAGAAAAGGCTCCTTGTGGCACAAGGGACATCAAACTTCCCTAAGAGAAACAGAGGGAGCGGGGGCAGAGCAGAGCCTTCAGAGGAGAACAAGCTCCTGATTCAGACACCAGCCCCATCCCTCCGGCCCCGGTGCCCTGGCCGGGACCTGGCCAGCCCGTGGGACACTGCCAGTGCCTGGGACATCGCCACCACCACAGCGCTGAGCCCTGGCTGGACTCCTTGGCGCTCCGGAGGGGCAGGCTCCATGGCTGATGAGGGTGGGGGCAAGGGGGGCCCGGGCAGCGCTGCTCTGCGGGGCTGTTTCCCCACAGCTCGATGCTGGGGGCTCTGGGAGATGAGCTTCGGGCTGGGGCAGGAGGATGGAAACCGCCTGTGGTAGGAGCAGGGATGCGCAGCCCCTCAGGCCCGGCACCGGTCTCCGCTGCACAGCAATCCCATTATGCACTTAACCCACGCCAATACAACCTTGCTCCGAGCAGAGTCCAGCTCTCAGCGCACCGACTGCAGCAGCTCCTGCCCCCAGCAGCCCCGCGGACAGGACTGAAACCGAACCGTTCCCGGGATGGGCTTTGCCGGGCACAAATCCTGCTGGGACAGAGCCAGGAGCTGCGCCAGGATCTGTGCGAGGGGCTGTGCAAGGAGCCCCGGTGCCGAAGGCCTCTCGCTGGCCGGGGATGTCCCGGCTCCCTGTGGAGGTGCCTGCGGTCCCCACGGTCCCGCCGGACCCCTCACGGATCCCGCACCTCACCGGGGCTGAGCACGGCGGCTCTGACCCGCCCCGGGGCAGCAAAGGGGGGTACTAGGGGCCCGGGTGCCCCCCAGGGCCCAGCCCGCTGGGTTCCGCGGTGATGGGTGCCGGGGTGCGGGGGGGCAGCGGGGGAGCCCGTTCAGGAGGCGCCGGTGCTGGACAGCTCCGCCCCCGGCCATGCCGAGGGGGACACGGGAGCCACCGGTCACCGCGGAGCCCGGGGTGGCCTCATAGACCCACGGCCTGGTTTGTATTGGAAGGGACCTTAAAGCTCCTCCAGCTCCAACCCCTGCCACGGGCAGGGACCCCTTCCATAGAGCAGCTTGCTCCAAGCCCCTGTGTCCAACCTGGCCTTGAACACTGCCAGGGATGGGGCAGCCACAGCTTCTGTGGGCACCCTGTGCCAGCGCCTCAGCACCCTCACAGGGAAGAGCTTCTGCCTAAGAGCTCAGCTCAGTCTCCCCTCTGGCAGCTTAAAGCCATTCCCCCTTGCTTCAGCATCCAGCACTGTGGCCGAAAAGCAACATTTCCCATTCAGCTCCATGAAGCTTCAAACCTTTCTCAAACCCTCTCCAAAACCTGCCCCAAAATCTTCCCAAAACCTCTGTGCCCCCTACGGGGCTCAGGATCCCCCCGCCCCTTGTCCTGGCCGGACCGAGCCCTTGGCCAGGAGCCACCCCGCAGCCCCGGTGCAGGCACTTGGACACTCGGGTGAGCTTCCGCCTCTTCCCGAGCCCCCCCGCAGCCGATTGCATCATTCATGGAGCTCCCGCATCGCGGACCTGCCCTTTGCTCCCGGGAGCCTGGAGCAGGAGCAGATGTCGCAGCATCTGCGCTCGCCGGCACCGCGTGGAAACGGTGCCCCCCCGGTCCTGAGCACTCGATCCGGGACCCCCCTCGATCCGGGACACCCCCCCCCCCCCCCCCCGGCAAAACGCATCACCTCAGCAGATGCTGCTGCAGCCGCACGCAGACACATGCGGTGATGCTCGGGGGGGAGCTGGGCTTGACTTCCCACCCCAGCATGCACGGGTGAGCCCCCCGCTGCCTGTGCCTCCTCCCAACATTCATCTCTCCAAGCCCGCGGGCAGAGCGGGGCCTTCAGGCCACCCAAAAATGTCCTTTTTCCCCCCAAATTAAGTTACGGATTTGGAGGACGCTGCAGGGGGTGCGGGGTGGGGACACAGCAAAGGGGACACAGCAGGAGCTTGAATCCCAAGAGCAGAGCCACAGACTGGGCTGGGTTTGTGCCTTCGCTGAGCCCTGCAGAGCCACCGAGCTCCAGGCTGGGGCTGGATCTGCTCCGGGCAATGAACCAGGTGAGGGAAAATCAGCTCCCAGCTGCAATTCCCAACTGATCCCCCCGGTACGGGCTATTCCCAGCCCCCCTGCCAGGTCTTACCTGCGCAAGTGGGATGAATCTCTCTCCTCTCAGCCCAATAATCCCTCGTACAACAAATCAGTCCCTGTTCTGCAGCCAGGACTCTTCCTGGCAGAGCGCCGGTAGCACCCCAGGGCTGTTCCCTTGGGACAACCGGGTATCTGCGATGGAAAGCAAAAGCCACCGGGAGCCCTTAATGGGATGAGTGGATTTTCCAGTGAGCTGCAAATCCACAGCAGCTGCTGGCAAACAGCTCCCTGCTGAGGCCCTGGGGGCTGCAGCAGTGCCTGTGTCCCCCCCCACCTCTGCCAGCTTCCAGTGACAGTGACCCTGGGGCTCAGCAGAACAACCCCAGGTGCGTTCCTGATGCCAACATCCCCAAAGAGCTGGGGATGGCCACTTACACTGGAAGAGGCAGGCAGGGGCTGGCAATGCCACCCCGACCCCAGCACCCCCCATCAGCCACAGAGCAGGCAGCACCTCCAGTCCCACCATCCTCGTACAGCTAAAATCGAACCTTCCACCTCCAAGAGATGCAGATAACAGAGCCACCGTGGGGCCATCACACCCAGATGGGAGCCTGAGCATCCCTTGAGCATCCCTCCAGCATCCTTTGAGCATCCCTTGAGCATCCTGCAGCGAGCAGCCCATAGGAGGAAGGCAGCACTCGCGCCTGCCCCCTCGCCCACTCCATGGTGCATCCTCCCCATCCAGGAGCCAGAAGGGGTGGAGGGGAAGCCAGGACCCGGTGAGCTATCGCCCGGCCCCGGGCAGGGGGAGTTTCCGCTGCCGGCGGTGACAGCGCTCAGCCGCATCCGCACAGGCTCCATGGCCGTGTCCAGTGGGAGTCAAGGATGAGGGTGGGGGGACGAGAACAAACCCACCTCCTGCAGCTCCCACCTCCTCTCCTCCGCGAGAGGCAGGGAACCCATTGGATCCATAGCGGGAGGCATTAACTCGAGTGCTGGCTCCCGTCCTAAACCCACTTCCCCCAGCACGGCCGAGACCTTCACAGCCCAATTCCCACATCCTGGCAGTGAGGGGATGCCAGGACACCAGTCCCCCAGCCCTGGGGATGGGTGGCTTGTCCCCACCTGCCCCCTCCCCATGCGATGCCTTGGAGCACCCCAACCCCTGGTGCCTGCAGGGCAGCACCCGGGCTCCTGGCTCCATCCCCGCTGTGGCCCAATCCAGGCAGCGCTGGAGGCAGCTCCCGCAGCCGCTGGTTAAGGAAAACCCCGCAGTTTCTGTCGCTTCCCATGGCAGTGGCTGGCGCCGGGCCCCCTCCCGCTGAGCATCCCCTAATCCAGGCAGTTAATCCGGCACCAGCGCCCGATGTCCATAGCCCTGCCCAGACCCACGGCACGGCCACGCAAAGCTCGTTAGAGGCCCCTTGTTAAGGAGCAGGGCTCAGGCCGTGCCATCAAACACAGCAGGGAAGCCACCGGAGCCTGCCCAGGCTGGGGACACGGGGGGTGGTCCCAGTCACCCCATCCCTGGGGACACAACCCTGTCACTGCCCCCCTGCGGGGGGTACAAAGGGGCTGCCCCCCAAGGGACATCCCAGCAAGGGATCCCAAGGGCCTCCCATCCCCATCCCATGGGGTGGCCCCAGTCCCTTGGCTGGGGTCGAACCTCCCCAGGGGCAGTGAGGGGACGTCCCGCAGCAATGCGAGGTCGGAGTCACCTCGAGGGACCCCGCTCCCCGTCCCCCCCCCCCCCCCAGGCCCGGCTCCAGCTCTCCCAGCTCCACTTGGATCCCGCTCCAGCCAGGAAGCAGGAACACGGCCCCGGGCACGCGGGGGCACCGGGCACGTTCCCGGCCCCACCACGGCTCCAGCCCGGCCCAGAGGCTGCACCCCCAGCACCAGAGCCCGGGGTGGGGGGAAAACCTGACACCCCCCCCCCCCCCCATCTGCCCATGGCCTCAACCCGTGCCCCCATCCGGGCCCCGCTCCCGTCCACAGCGGAAACACCTTTTTCCTGTCCATGGGGCTGCAGCGCAGGGAGGGCAGCAGGAAAGAGCCTCGCGTCTCGGAGGGCTATTTATAACCTGCGGCCAGCCAGGCCGCCCCATTCCTGCCCCACGGCGTCCCCTCCTGCCCCACAGAGCCTCCCCCTGTGCCCCAAGCCCTGCTTCAGCCACCGCCAGCACCATCCCTGACCCCATCCCAGTCCAATCTCTGTCCACATTCCCATCCCGTCCCATTACCATTTCAAGTCTCATTCCCATCTCATCCCACACCTTGTCCCCATCCCCATCCTTGTTCCTGTCTTCATCCCCAATTCCAACCCCATCTCATCCCAATCCTCATCCTCATCCCTCTCCCGGTCCTTGTTCCCCTCCCCACACACCAACACTCAGCCTTGGGCCCCCCTCAGCAGAAGGAAGAGGCCCAAATCCTGCCTCAGGGACATCATTCCCATCACCCAGCCCCACACTCCCCATCCCACCCCATCTCCCCCTGTTCAGGCCCACCCTGGTCCCTCAGGAGCGGGTTCCCTATGCCGGGGATGTGCTGCATTGTGGGGAAACTGAGGCAGGGGGTGGGCAGGGCAGGCAGAGCCCAGCTCTTGTCCACCCATGGAGCGCAGTTACTCAGCTCCTGCAAATGACTCAGCCAGGATCCGGCCGGGACAACCGGGATTTCCTGACTCAGCTTCCCCAGCCACAGAACCGTGTTTGAGGGGCTCCAACCCCACCAGGCACCAACACATGGGACGTGGGGATGCTCCGGCACAGCAACGTAGCTCGGGCATCCCTGCACCTGAACATGGCCGAGCATCCCCGGCGTGTCAGAACATCCCCCAGGGTGGCTGAGCACCCATCGGACCCCTTTGCTACCAGTGGAAACAGCACTGAAATCCCAGCCAAAGTCCCCACAGCACCCACCCGTGGAGCACCCACAGGTGCCCGTGACCCTCCAGCATCCTCCCATGCTCAAAGCCGGGCTCAGACACCACGAGCTGCTCCGCCTGCAGAGGGAAGACGTGGGGCAGCACCACACACGCTCCCTAGAGAGCCAGCACCCATTTCAGCCGCTGCCGTGCCTCAGTTTCCCCACGTCACCCGCGTCACTGGGGATGCAAGGCAGGAACAGGCAGCCCCGGCTGCCACCTCCAGCTCCCCCCCCCCCCCCCCCCCCCAACCAGGGATGGGGGTCCAGGGGACACCGGGGGGGGCACTGGGACACGGGAATTTGCCCGCCGGGCCCCGCTGTGGGTCCCACTGCTGAGACAGGGTCCCCGTGGGGAGATGGGGACACTGCGGGGCACAGAGCAGGGGGGCTGCGCCGGGTGTGAGCCGGTGCCAGTCCCCGCAGCGGCTGCGGTCACCCCCGGGCGCTGCCACCGCCGCTCCCCGCAGCACGACCCCAGCACCTCGGTGCCCCCCCCCCCCATCCTTCGCCGTCCCCTCCCCGGTGCCGCCGCCGCCCCGGTCCCTGCCGCGCTCACCGCTCGCTGCGCCCCGTCCCGCCGCTGCCGAGGGACCCCGCGCTGACCGGGCCGGCCCCGGGGAGGAGTCGCGCAGGCCCGGGCCCGGCCCCCGGGACACGGCCCCGCCCGGCCCCCGGTGCCGCTGCTGCCGGGACGCGGAGCCCGGGATCCCCCCCCCCCCCCCCGGCCTGCACCCCCCCCGCATCCCCCTGAATGCCCCCCATGGGTTCCCCTCACCCGGATCCCGCCCGGGTCTCCCCATGGGTATCCCAAAGGGATCCCCCCCCGGATAGGTCTCCCCCATGGGTCTGTATCCACATCCCCCCTCCGCACCCCCCCGGATCCCTCTTGGATGTCCCTCATGGGCTCCCATGAATGATCCATGGATTCCCCCCCCCACCCCCCGATCCCCCATGGGGTTCCCATACGGATCCCTCAGTTTCCCTCCCTGATCCCGCTGGATTCCACACACACACACACACACACACACACTCCCCGCCCCACGACCTCTCCCCGCTTCTCCCCCGCATCCCTCCTGGGTGCCCCCCATGGATTCCCCCCCCGGACCCTACACTGGGTCTCCGGAATGGATCCCCCATGGGTCTCCCCCCAAGAACTCCCCCTCCGGTTCCCTCACCCATGTGCCCGCCTCCACCTCTGATCCCCCATGGGTCTCCCCCCAGAACTCCCCCTCCGGACCCCCCTGGGTTCCCTCACCCATGTGCCCGCCTCCCCCCCGATCCCCATCGTTCTCCCCCCAGAACTCCCCCTCCGGTTCCCCCTCCGGTTCCCTCACCCATGTTCCCACCTCCCCACTGATCCCCCATGGGTCTCCCCCCAGAACTCCCCCTCCGGACCCCCCTGGGTTCCCTCACCCATGTGCCCGCCTCCCCCCTGACCCCCCATGGGTCTCCCCTACGGACAGATCCCCCCTCTTTCCCCTCCCGGATGGATCTCCCCATCCCCGGCCTCGCCCCCTTTCCGCGGTAGCCCCGCCCCCTTCCCGCGGTAGCCACGCCCCCTTCCCGCGGTAGCCCCGCCCCCTTCCCGCGGTAGCCCCGCCCCCTTCCCCCCGCCCATTTCCCCATGACCACGCCCGTTTCCCCCCCTTGGCCCCGCCCCGCAGCGATGTCGGCGCGCGGCGGTGACGCGGCCTCCGCCAGCAGCGCGGGCTCGTGGTGCCTGCGGCACCTGCACCTGTCCCTGCGCGTGGCCTTCGCGGGCGCGGGGCGGCTGCGCGGGAGCGCGCGGCTCGAGCTGCGGCGCGCTCCCGGCGGCGGCGCGGAGGGGGCGGACGCGGGGGTGCTGCGGCTCGACGCGCACCGCAGCCTGAACGTGCTGGGGGCGGCGCTGCTGCCCGGCCATGGGGAGCCCTCCCCGGGCGCGCCGCGGCCGCTGCCCGTGCGGACCGAGCCCTTCGCCGGCTTCGGGCGGGCGCTGCTCATCACCGTGCCCCGCGCCGAGGAGCGCCTCTCGCTGCGCATCGACTACGAGGCGGGCGAAGGGCCCGGGGTGAGCGGAGGGGGGGGGGGGGGCACCCGTCTTCCCTCCGGGCAGGGAGCGGTGAGCCCCTCACCGCGGCCTCTGCTCTGCTCTGCCCATAGGTGTGCTGGCTGGCGCCCGAGCAGACGGCAGGGAAGCAGAAGCCCTTCATGTACACCCAAGGCCAGGCTGTCCTCAACAGGTCCTTCTTCCCCTGCTTTGACACCCCGTCCGTCAAATGCACCTACTCGGCCACCGTGAAGGTAAGAGGGGCCCCGGGGTGCACCCACACCCAGCGGAGCTGAGCCCACCCTGAGCTTACTCACGTGGGAGCCTGTTGGGATGCGCTGAATCCCTGCAGCGCACGCTCTCAAGTCCTCCGGCACTGGCATGCAGCAGGGAAGGCACCGAGCTATCATTCATACAGGCTCCTGTTTTCCTCCTCTGTTCCTCTCCAGAGGAACACAAGCGGACCCCAATGGGCCTCGTGCTGCTCCCCCCAGCACAGGCCCCATGCAATGCCTGCGAGCAGGCGCACGTGCTGCTGTCCCGCCAAGTTCTTCTCTCACAGCAGGAGGTGGCTGAAATACTCAGTGCTTGATGTCCGAATGCCAGCCAGGATCAACTCCGTGTAAACCTCTCTGCTCTCCTCTGCTGCTGCATTTCATAGCGTCACAGAGTCATGGGATGGTTTGGGTTGAAGGGACCTTAAAGCTCATCCAGTTCCACCCCTGCCATGTTAAGGGACACCTTCCACTAGAGCAGCTTGCTCCAAGCCCGGTCCAACCTGGTCTTGAACACTGCCATTTGCCTAAGTAATTCCTCTAACTACCACAGAGACCCCTGGGTTTGCCTCATAGCAGCCTGAGGGCAGCAGGGCATCTGCTCTTGGTGTGTGTAGCAGTGGGAGGGTGACAAGGACAAGCTGAGTGGGGGGACCAATTGCACCCAAATGGTGTTTGAGCCCCAGAGCTGAGCGATGCTGCTGCAGGGATGCCGCTGCGATCCCGAGTTGGAGCCCAGGGCATTGCTGCTCTGCTCAGCCCATCAAAACCTGCAGTGCCACAGACCTGGCCACCTTCAGCGTGCTGGGACACATTGAGCAGCAGACATCGCAGTGTCCCCAGGTGGGTTAGCTGACATCCCTCTCCATATGTCACGGATGTAATAGGTGTGTTTATCTCCATGGCCAGGTCCCTGAGGGTTTCGTGGCTGTGATGAGTGCCACAAGCTGGGAGAAGAAGGAAGACAACACCTTCGTCTTCAAGATGTCCCAGCCAATCCCCTCCTACCTGATCGCTCTGGCCGTTGGGGACATTGTGGCTGCTGACGTGGGCCCAAGGTACGTGGCTCTGTACTGAGCTCACCGAGCTGCAGGGTGAAGCTCCTGGGCCTGCCCTGCACCGCTGGGCTCTGCAGAGCATGACCCAATGCTGCATCCCCAGGGCCCAGCTGTGATGGGTGAGGATGCTCCTTGCTCTTGGTGCCGGTTACCTCAGCTCCTAGGGAGTCCCTGGCTCTGTTTCAGCCCTGTGCATGCTGGTGAGAGCAGTCCCCATTCGCAGAGGCCCCACGTCTCTCCAAGGCCGGGGATTTGCTCAGGTTCCAGCTGTCACAGCCACCATATAAAAGCCCTTTGACTTTCAGACAAGGAAAGGAATCAGAGCAGTTTGCGCTATCAATCAGTCTCATGAGCTTCCTTTATCAGCTGTTACTTTGCTGTGGAATAAACACGTGTGGGTTTTGGCTGAGGAAGCAATAGGGTGAAAGTCCACCAGTGCTTAAAGGTTCCTCTCTACACACTTGGCCAGGAGCCGTGTTTGGGCCGAGCCCTGCCTGATCGAGGCTGCGAAGAAGGAGTATGATGGGGTGATCGAGGAGTTCCTGGCGGTTGGAGAGAAGCTCTTTGGACCTTATGTTTGGGGCAGGTATGGCTCTGCTGCCAAAGGACCTTGTTCCTGGAGCATGGCTCCATCATCCCATTGCATCCGCAGGAAGAGGTGGGTCTGACCAGTCCGTTCCCCCCCCTGCAGGTATGACATCCTGTTCATGCCGCCCTCCTTCCCCTTTGGTGGGATGGAGAACCCCTGCCTCACCTTCGTGACGCCGTGCCTGCTGGCCGGGGACCGCTCCCTGGCCGATGTCATCATCCACGAGATCTCCCACAGCTGGTTTGGCAACCTGGTCACCAACGCCTCCTGGGGCGAGTTTTGGCTCAACGAGGGCTTCACAATGTACGCCCAGAGGCGCATTTCCACCGAGGTCTATGGTGCGTGGCCTCACCACGGGGCCCCATCCTTTTCCTCCTCTCCCAGCTCACGAGCTGACACTGTTTCCCTCCCATAGCAGCCCCCATTGGGTTCGCAGCGCACAGGGGTCTGGTTGGGGTCTCCAAACGCCTGCCTCTTGTCCCTGCCCAGGTCTGGCGTACACGTGCCTGGAGGCGGCGACGGGAAGGGCCCTCCTGCGCCAGCACATGGACAGCACCGGGGAGGAGCATCCGCTCAACAAGCTGCGCGTGGTCATTGAGCCAGGTCTGTGGGAGCGAGGTGTGGGGCTAGGGGCAGCCCTGCTGCTATGGGGCTTCCTGCCTGCAGTACAACCAGTGCTGGTGCCCGAGGCAGGCGATGGCTCCAGGAGGGATATGATGGATGCGCAGCCAGCACAGGAAGCGGAAATCTCAGCACATGAGGGCTGTTTTCTGTGCAGATTCCTGAGGGCTTTCCCTTGCTCCAGGTATCAATCCCGAGGACACAT